CAGATGTTTCAGAGACATTAAGATTAAGCTTGCACGAGGCATTGACATTGCCAGCATTATTTACTAGAAATACACATAAATATATGTACACATATAAACAAAGTCTTCCTATGGATGAGACTCAGCAAGTTCAAAAGCTGCTACATAGGCCCCAAAAAAAGCCCACATAAACAGACACACACAAGATGAACAGTGAAAGGCAAAACATCCTTCCTCCAACAGGCATCTTCTATCTCACCAGCATATTCCACACAGGCCTGCCTTTTTGTGCCATATTTTCCATCATTAAATCTCCATTAGGGATGGCTGGTGGATGGGTCAGCAGTAAATAATGCCAAACTTACCAGCTGGGAAACAAAAGTCCAGAGGGGGGGAAAAAAAAAAAAAAAAAGGGCACTTATCCAAGGTTGCAGACTGACCTGCTCCAATTTGCATAGTAAGGATTTCAGTTATAAAACAAATAGCTAAATGCTAAATATAGCCAAGAAGGAGGCTTTATTCACCAGAGCCAACTTCATGCTGATAGGAGCCACAGAGGTAGCACAGTGCACAATACACAACAGCTACAAAGCCCATTAAACAAACACAACTGGAGAGGCCTCTTTTTCCAGGGAGGTTTGTTCCACAGCCAGGACAGTCCCTGCATCCAGGGAAGCACTTGCAGGTCGTGAATGTGAGTGTTCACAAAGGATGGGAGAGTGCTGTTTGTTTCAACAGGCAGCTGCTTTTTGTGCCTGTCAGGCTACTGAAAAGTTTCCAGTACTAATTACAGGACACAGAAGTTGTCAAAGCATGATGCAACAGATAAATAAGGGGGGAATATGCCAAAGGAAGAAAAAGAACAGATCAGCCAGAGAAATCCTTTGTCAGTGACTATGTCCTCAGGCTGGAAGCCTTCCCTGCCCCACCAGAGCATGTGCTGCAAAAGAACTTAACACTGCAAAAGAAACGGCTTTGATTTTTGTCAGTGAAACACCTTTGTACTTTGTACAGAAACATGTAGATAGGCAAAGTGACAATGACAACAATAAAACAAAGGGGAAGGCATGCACTACAGAAAAGAGTTCAAACTGAGCCAGACTGCCCAGAGAGGCTGTGCAAATTCCTTCATTGCTACATTATTCTTGGAAAAATAAATATCTTCAAGCCTCTGTCTTGAATGACAAGTGAAGACAGATCCAATCTGGAACAGACAGATGGATCAGATGATTTCTTGAAGTTTCTGTGAAATCTTTCCAGTGTAACCAATATCCACGTGGTCTTTACTACACTAGGCAAGTTATTCAGTAAAATAAAATAGAATTAATTTCGACCAAGAGCTCTGGCACAGGCAAGACAATTTAATTTGCATCACCTTTTTATAGGAAGCATGTGTGAAAGCACAGAAAAGGGGTTTATAAGGAGCAAAAAGGGATTTAAAAGTTCCAAGATGCAGATACTCAACATCCCCAGAGCATTTCATTCACAAACCTCGAAGGAGGTCAGCATTACAACACCCTTTTTGTACCTGGGATAAACAGATAGAAAGAAACTATTTTTCTCAAGACTTCTGAAAAAACAGTGGCAGAGATGGCACCACTATCTCCTTGAATATCTAAGCCATCAAAGCGCTCAGGAAGTCCTTCTGAAGTGTTTATTTTATAGACACACAGGATAAATATTTTCAAAAATAATAATTTGGCTTTCACAGGCACAGAGTTATCAAGGGAGTTAACAGAAGAATTTGGAGCATAAACTCTCAAAATAAACCAAAGTTTAGATTCCCTTTGTGCTACAGCAGACTGGGATGAGGAGATGAAGACTCCACGACAGGCTCAGAAACTGCAACATGGAATTTTGCCAGTCTGTGCCACATTCCTCTGCAACTATGCAGGTAGTAAACATTAGCTCAATAAAAATAATTAAATTAAATTAAAATATCACTTAATTTCAGAATTTCAGTGCCAGTTCAAGTCAGCATCATATTTAATTCCATCATTCTGAAGAAAAAAAAAAGCAACAAAAATATACCAAAGCTGGCTTTATTTCTTCACATATCTTTGCTTATGCTGCCTTTGAACCAACCATGGCTGTTTTATAGACACAGTTTCACTTATTTAGAATGGGATAATAAAAAACTGTGCCAGTGTACGGGAATGATTTCCCAAAACTCTGATGCAGAAACATTGTCAGTTTGCTGTAGGTTTTATTTAAAAGGGATTTCAACAAGATATTTTTTTTTGGGGGGGGGGAATAGCAGAAAGTATCAGTCACATGCAACAAAGTAATTTTTCCACAACAAGAGCTACTGCACAATCATGTAAGAGCAAGAAATTAAATCCAGCTATGAGGGCAATGATTTTGCTTTGTCCTGTTTAGCATCAACACTCAACAGAGCACACAGACTGCTCTCAGCAGAACAGGGAAAGGCTCCAAGAGCACGGGGGTGCTGCAGAAAGAGACTTTGTACAATGATACACTGAGAATTCTGTCTCCATCACTGTCAGCCATGGAAACAAGAGCTTCCACGTGGGATAAGATAGGAAGGACCCACATGGAGAAGACAGGAATAGAGTAGGACACAAGAAAGGCCAAGGCCAATTCCTTACTCTAACCTGGGCTTCTGGAGTGAGCATGGACAGTTCATCTTTATTCAGTAACTTAATGTGGTTGTTTTAAACAAGTGACCAGTAAAACAAAGCCCAAGTCAGGCTGGAGTCTCACATCAGCAGTACTGTAATCCAAGGTGCTCTCCCTGGCTAACAAGACCTGAAATTCTACCATAAATATCACAAGAACAGTGATAAAAGAATAACAGCCAGAGACTGATTACTGGGGGCATTTCAGTCTGCAACAGAGAAAAAAAAAAGTGCTCTCAACCCCAATGTCAGCAACTTCCTTGGTCATTCTTGAGCCTTTGGAAGATGGAGAGTAAAAGAGTCATCCATGAAAAAATAGATCTCTCTATAAATATCTACAGATATCTCTATAGATAAGTGCACACCAGTGTCTAACACAGGCTAGCAACAAGTCACATTCAGGTCTAGCTACCCATACCTGGCCTTTCCTAGAGCTTTAAAAGTATCTAAAACTTGCCATGCATTGTGTACTCTGCAAAGTGGTATCAACACTGGGGTATGGAACTTGCTTTATATATTGTCTCCTGTCCTCACAAGAAGTATAAAACACCCTCTCAAAAAAAAAAATTAATTTTCCCAAGTATCGTGGACAGAGACAGCATTTTGATAAATAAAACCAACAGCCTCAATCAGGAGGTGGAACACATGCCTTGATCCATTTTAACCACCCAGTAACACAACAGAAGAATCAGCCTGGATGTCCTTACAGAGCCACATCTCTCGGTAGCAGAAAACCCCCTCTGCCTTCTCCATCACTTCTTCTGCCAAACCAAGAAACACAAGTGGGGATAAAAAGAAAACACACCAGGAAGAGCTCCTTGCCAGAGTAGATTATGGCAGCCTCCAAGGCTAGAGGAGCACATAGCCTTGGCCCAGTAGATAATCCCACCCATACTGATCCTAAGAGCATCTCCTGAAAAAACACACGAGGTTTCCCTTCACTGAAGGCAGCCCCACACAAGTGCTCCTGAGATGACAGACAGGCTCCAGCACAGCTTCTCTCTGCTGTGCTGCAGTGGCTGGTGCTAATGTTGTCACTTGTGCCACGTCTCAGAGCTGAGCCTTTGAAGTCCTGTACTCCCGGAGATTTCTGGTAGGCAGTGACAACTTTTGTGAGGACACAGTCATTTGATGCAGACTCCCTCCTTCCTAATCCCTGGCAGGCTCTGACAGCAGGCAGGTAATTTCTTAAAATGCTGTATCTCAGACCTAACTTTAAGATCAGGAGCTGCACTATGTTCAAAAGCATCACCACACCAGCAGTGACAGACCTGTGCTGATTAACGGGGCTCTCTTGGAGCACTTGTGGGGAGAGGAATGGTGTTAGCAGGCAGCTGGGCAGAGGTTAAAGCCAACAAGCCCAGCCAGGCACCCCAAATGTATCTCTGTCCACATGCTGACCAGGTCTTGAGTTGCAAGTCACCCTCAGGGAAACACTTTTAGCCAGCAGTAATGGATGGACTGGTAAAACTTGACATCCATTCCAGCAGAACGAGTTTCTGAGACAAGGTTTGGAGGCCTGTGAGACTGATGCTCAACAGAGCAGCAAATAACACTCGGTGCTGACACAGTGCTTTGTCTCCCAGTGCTTCCAAAACGCCGCTGCAGAACACTGTAGAGATAACAACTCCTGCCTCTGCCTCCACCCCTGGATGCTGCCCCAAATACCCTTTGCTGCTCCGTGTCAGGAGATGCAAGGGGCAGAACCCTCCTGCATCTGCCTGGCTGCTCATAACCTGAGCACTGTGCCAATGCCAGCAGCTCAGCCCGGGCCTTCCTCAGCAGCACATCTTCAACAGACAAAAACCCCACATCAGACCCTGCAGGATGTGGTTAATGTCCATATCTGGATCCTTAGACAAGAAAACCCGAGCGAGGACACTGAGCTCAGCAAACAGTCAAGCTTCCCAAAGACAAAAGACAATTTCCCACCCATTTCAAACCCAAAACTCGCTCGGAACCGAGACATGGATGCTGACACCCACTCCCACCTCCGTCTCCATGGCATCAGGCCGCTGCCTCCCCGGCCGCTCCAGCCGCGCGTTCCCCGTGCCCCAGGAGCGGCGGCGAGCCCGCCCCGCACCCTGCCGGGCTGCTCGGGGGGTGCTCGCCCCCGGCAGGCCCGCACCCCCCAAACCCCTCCCGCCCCGGCGGCTGCCGGTGCTGCCCGGCCGAGGGAGGCAGCCGGGATGCCGGCCCGCCGAGGATGCTCGCTGCCTTTCGCAGCCCAAGGACAATGCGCGGCGGCGGCCGAGCCGCCCATCGGTACCGAGCGGCGCATCCCCGCTGCCAGCGCTCCTCCCGCACCTTCTCCGTTCATCCCTCCTTTGTTGTGGCGCGGGCTGGCCGGGCGCTGCCATCCCCTCCCGCTGTCCCACTTACCCCGGAGCTGCCCTGCGGAGCGGGGCAGGGGGCTCGGTGCCACCGCAGGATGCGAGCCCGGCCGGCAGCCGCCCTGCCACTCCCTGCGCGGCCGAGCCCAGGGCCGGGAGGAGGGATCTGGGCGGCGGCTCGGAGCGGCGGGGGCGGAGGAGGATGCGGGGCCGGCACCGCCACTCCCTCCGTCCCTCCCGGCTCACGGCCGGGCCCACGCGAACAAAGGGGCCGGTCCGGGGCTGCACCGCGCCGAAATCCTCCTGGTTGCCGGGCCCTGGCGTCTCCCGAAACCGGGTGGGAGGGTGGAAAGGCAGCGCCGAGGCTGCTCCTGGCTGCCCGCAGCCCCGAGCGCTCCTGCCCTAAAACCCAAAATAATCGTAAAATCGCCTTTTGCTCGCTGTAGCCGCCGCCTTCTCTCCCCGCGGCTCTGGGAAGGAGGAGCTCTCTAGGTACACCTGAATTTAGGTGATAGCGGTTTTGATTGATACAAGAAGGGAAGGGCTGGCGGTGCTTCCTGTAAAAAAGGAGAGACCCCTAATTAGCCGAATTAGGCTTTAACGGGGAGCGCAGCAAAGAGAACACACCTGCAGCCTTGGGAACTCGTTCATTCAAAGCAAGGATGGCCGGGCTGAGGTGGCGATCATCATTTGACCTTCAGCACTTCCTGCTGTTCCCTCGCAGAGCCGCGCCTGGGCTGATACTGCACAGAGATACAACGGAGCAGGGCCATAAAATCATTTCGGCTGGAAAACCCTTTAAGCGGATCGAGCCCAACCATTCACCCAGCACTGACACGGCCACCGCTAATCCATGTCCCCAAGTGCTAATTCTACACATCTGTTAAACCCTTCCACCACTGCCCCAGGCAGCCTGTGCCAGGGCTTCGCAGCCCTTTTGATAAAGAAATTTTCTACAATATCCAATCCAAACCTCCCCTGGTGCTACTAGAGGCCGTTTGCTCTTGTCCTGTCCCTTGTTCCCTGGGAGCAGAGCCTGACCTCCACCTGGCTGTCCCCTACTGTCAGGGAGTTGTGGGGAGTGAGAAGGTTCCCCCTGAACCTCCTTTTCTCCAGGAAAAGGAGCACCCCCAGATGCCTCAGCCACTCCTCATCAGACTTGTGCACCAGCCCCTTTCCAGCTCTGCTGCCTTTCTCTGTACACGTTCCAGCACCTGTCTAGTGCCTGTGCCCTGAAACTGCACCCCTAATTTATACAGGAGTGGAAGTGCTTTGCACAAGGGCTGTAACTCTACTCAGTGTATTTCAGCACCTCCATAGACACCCCACATCACCCAAGGGGCAGCCCAGGATATTTTGCACATCAGATGCTATGGTGGGAGGCCCCAGGGTATACAGAAACAGAGTGGGCTTCCATCCACCAGCAATCCTGAGGTTTGTTGCTGTGACGCTGTTTTATTTTGCCTGCAGAAGCCCAAAAAAGCAGAGGAGAGATAGAAATGAAGGAGGTGCCGACACTAAAGCAGAGAAGAATAGAGCTGAGGTCAGCTGAACATCATCCAGAATATGAGATTTGACAGTCCTGGCTTTAGCAAGATGATCCAGTCTCAGGAGGCAGCCAGAGGCATCCTCATTTTTCATCTTGCAGAGGAGAAGCCAAAGTAAGAAGTGAAATGGCTGGTCCAAGCCAAAAATAGAACCTGAAGCACCTGACTTCAACGCCTCTGCTTCAACTGCTAGTTCACTGTGTTTCCCTGACATTTTTCTACATCCAAGCTCAAGTCATTGCTTTTGGATCTGTATACAAGAATTTTTGTCTCCTCTCTAATCTATAGTTGCCTAGGGAGACAGTATGGTGCCAGGAGAAGAGCAAGATGAGAAGGTGGCTATTGACTCCAACAGAACTTCTTGCTTCTCCATCCAGCTCCACACCTGATTTGCCAGCTCAGTCAGCCCCTACCCTTAGGTCCAAGACTCTTTCCTTATCCAAATGGTGGTAGAGCAATGATGGTGACCTCCCTTTGTCAGACTGACAAGAAGCATTACATGCAGACATGCATTTTGTAAGGAAGAGTATAAATTTAAAGAGGTTCTGGAAAAAAAAAATCCTCTTTAATATTTTCAGCTGCTTTAGGGTAGCATTTCAAATCAGGAATTGCTTAGAAGTTAAACTCCATTTTTGATCAATTGTACAATTTTATGCTTAATCTCATATACACTAATTTGTTCTTAGTACAAATAACTTCCACATAAAAGTTTAAATTACAGTCCCACGTCTACATGGTGAAAAAGGTCAGCAGGTCTGGGAGGAGAATCAAGCCCACTGGCTTCAATACAATGAAGCTAGAAAAAAGTTCACAGCTCTTGTAGTCATTTCCTTGAATCATTTTGACAAATCTGCCTATCTGAGTAAACTTTCTCAGGGGAATTTCCAGGGAGAGCAAGAAAGATCATCCAGGGACAGAGCTCTGGCAGTGATGTGGCTGAAGTCCTGTAGACTTGAATTTATGTCTTCTATTAAGTGCTCTCCCACAAAGCTGTTGCTCAGCTTTTGTTGTACCTGCTTCAGGATGACTATAAATGTTGAAATGCCATCATCCCAAAGACACTACTATTTCTCAACAACCATTTATTTATTCACAGGGGCTTGTGTGCAGGCAAAGAACCCTGCACTGATGTCCCAGACATGGGAGAGCACAGGAGACACTGAAGTTTCAGCCTAGGAAGATGTGAGGACTTGTTAATTTTAGACAGGTGAGCAGAATAATGACTTTAATTAAACAATTATGTGTAGAGAGCTGGTGTGTGATCTCTGACATCTCTGGGCTATCACATTTGCCTGATAGTACCCTCTAATGCCCTCTTGTTTTCTGTGATATCATATATATCTTGTTTTGAAAAGTGGCTTCTCACAGATAGGCAAAACTGTCTCCACTTGACTGATCCATTACTGTGATTTAATGAGTATTTGCATTAGCTGTTGGGATCTCTAAAAAACTTCACTGTTGTTTTCTTTTAAATTATTCTGACAAACAGAAGCATTACAGACAATGTTAATGTAAAAACCAAGGGAATAATCATGCCTGCATCTAGGGAAACAAAAAAAGCAAACATTTTGTGTTTTGCTGTTATCTGTATTGTTTAAATAAACACAGCCAAATTGTTCAAGTACCTTTCCATTTTATTCACCAGCATCAGGAGATGAAGCACCTCTCTGCAAAGAGACACTCAACTTGTCACATACCAGTAATACCCACCCTAATGCCCCAATCCTTCACTTGTTCCCCAAAGGCAGCAACATTTTAAAGGTGACAGTTCACACAAAGGCCACCTGAAGGGGTGACATCAAGACCCCAGATGCCAACAAGGTTTTCAGAGTTGAATCCCTTCATTCGTTTCCTTACAACAGGCCTAGAAATCCCTGCCTATGTACTGTGGGAACTGAGTGGTGGCAGAAACTGTATTTGAAAATATTGCACAACTTCATTACTGTCAACCTTCAGTTATGTGATTTCCAATGCCTCAAAGGTGCAGCTCCAATGACAGCATAAGCTCCTGCTGTTCATTCAGGCTGACACTATAAAGAGCCTTCTGCATCTGGGGGCAGAACACGAAATTCCAGCATTGGTGGGAGGAACAAGATTAAAGCAGTGATCTAAAAAAAAAGCTGTTTTTTTCCTTTGATTACAGAGCTGCTGAAAGACCTTCTTATCTTGAGGATCAGTGACTGCTTTAGGCCTTACTCATTCTAGGCCAAGACTAAAGTTCAGAAACTTCTTATAAACAGTCTTTAAATTAAAATTAAGGTCTTGCATGGTTGCAATGACTCAGCCAAGTGGTGACATTTTCAGGCATTTGTTATCTGACCCAGAGCCACCACAAAGCCTCTAATACCCAGCAGATTCTGCTGTATCTAGATAGGTGAGAGAAACCTCTCATCTTCAGATATTTATATGCAAGCCAACTGTCCAGGCTTTCTATATAATGAGTGCAGAGGAAGAGGCACTGGGTAGAATTCCCCTCATGGTACTGCAGACACCTAAAATGGATTAATTGCTCTCTAACCATGCTCTCTTCCATCCATTAATTAAAGAGATATCTGAGAACCAGCCAAATGAGATGTTTAAAGTTAAATGGTGAGAATCCCACTCATCTCCCTTCCGGAAACGCTCAGCACAGCTGATGGTGCTTATTTGGGTACACATAGCTCAGACATGTGTTGGGTACACTCTTGTCTGAAGGCCTCACTTTGTTCTGTTTCTCTGGAAGAAATGAGACTGTTGGCCAGGATTCAACATGGGCAAGATCTGGCTCCAGGACCCTTGAGGGAGGGGTGGCTTGTGCAGTGTCCTGGAAAGTGCTTTGTGAAAGGATTTCTACCAGCTGGGTTCTGCGAGTTCCTGTATATTTCTTAACATAAAAGGAAGTGTGGGTAGAAATATGTTGAAGGATCATGGCAGTTTGCATTAATTATGAAGATCAAGAGGAGCTCTTACTGCTTTTTTAGTGTATTTCCTATACTGAAATCAGTGCATTAGCTGTTAGTTAAGCTCCAACCATCAGTATAATTTAATCATTAGCACAGTCTAGTTCCTGTTGTTCTACATTTTAAAAGCAAACTACCTTGCTGCAGTAGCAATGATTCCAAGGAATGTGGGACAGCACTCCACACAAATACAAAACAAGAAGATGGATCACGCTGCAGGATTGAAGAAATAGTGCCATTTTTTTTCATCACAAAGGATGTTTCCTGCCCATGAGCCCAAAGGCAAGTGGATGTTCAGAGAAATTCAGCATCCATTAAGTGGAGGCCTTCTGAAATTCTGCCCTCTGATCCCATGTTTGCCCAAATGCCCTATGCAAGTTTCACACTGGCAGGGGAGACCTTGGAATAGCTCTTTTATTAAGGCAGTAGATTATTGTCAGTCTTTTGTCTGAAGATGAAGCTCCTTTTTACAGATGAAGTAAATGAATCATAGAGAGAAGAAATCTCTGTGAACATATCTGTTCATTCAGCTGAAACAGAAATATGTTGGTCGACATCTGCATTTCAGAGTCAAACATCTACAAGTAAGCATGACTGAAAAAAGTAATACAGGAGGAT